GTTTGCTTAAATGCGAGTTTTAATCTCGCTATATGTAAGTCAATTAGTTGTCTTGTCAAAACAATTAAAAGTGGTAGCCAAGGTAAATGAAAATATAAATGAATTAACAACAAAATGCAAATATGGCCTTTTTAAATTATTTTTTTTTTGGGTAAAAATTTTAATTGAACAGAAAAATTTAACTGCATCCACGAGAAGGTAACGTTTGTATTTCTGTAGGAAAGGTTTGAGTTCTATTATACCACAAAATTTCACTGTATACTAATCAGTATTAGGGTAATCAAATTTTAGTTGATAAGAAAAAAACTACGAAATCTATGATATTTTAAGCTCTAAAACCAAAATTTTCTTCATGAAGATATTCCATGACATAATTTGTTATCATCAGCATATTTGTCATGAAAATTACTAAGCCCCTTCATGGTGAAAGCAGAAAAAGGTGTAATCGATAGCAACATCAAGCTCGTAGTTTTGACCAAATCGACAGTCTTACTGGAAGTGTACAAGAAGAAAATGTATATAATTGGCACTTTGTAACCGCTGAAGCGACTCTCGGCTGAGCGCCTTTTCCCATTTGTGGTATGCGTCTTAATGCTTCTTTAGGATTGGAATCCTGGCCTTCCGAATATTAGTACGCAGTGCTGACCACCCAGCTATTGCGGTAGTAGACAACACTCTAAGAAGAAAATGGAAATCCTGAGCAGGGTAAACGTATGTGTACGTTTAATTGCGAAGTGGATGACACGTTCTTATTACAATAGAATACATACTCTCAGTGAAGGAGTGAACTAACTGCAAATGTGAGATATGATTGTCACAGCTATGTATATTAATGCTATGAGGTACCATCCAAACTGATTTTGAGATTAGCTGCTGCTACGAATTGCTCATGTATTTATTCACCATAAGGCATAAGGAAGTTTTACTGCCTGTTGCTGTTGTAGACGCAAAATATTCCCTGAATTGTTTTCGGAGAATATTGCGGCAGTGCCGGTATCTTCTGTTATGAAACAAACAGTCATCGCATTAGCGATTCGGCTCTCACGTCATTGTTGATAGTCACAAGTTCGAGGTCGTAGGTCGATCTAGGGGACAGTATTAACACCAATGATGACGTAAGGCTTGAAATCCAACACAGAATCACTCTTGTAAACAGATGCTACCTTGGACTAAGTAGGCAATTGAAAAGTAAAATCCTATCCCGACGAACGAAAACCAAACTCTACAAGTCGCTCATCATACCGGTCCTACTATATGGCTCAGAAGCGTAGACGAGGTCTTTGAGAGAAAAGTTTTGAGTAAGAATTATGGTCATTTGCGCATTAGCAATGGCGAATACTACACGAGGTGGAGCGATGGGTCGTTCCATCTATAAGATGATATTGACATGGTTCATTTAATGAAGAGACAGCGGCTACGTTGGTAAGGTCATCGATGTATTACCCGCTGATGGAAGCAGAGGAAGAGGAAGACCTCTTCTACGTTGGAAGGATCAGGTGGAGAGTAACGCAGTTAAAGAAGTGATGAGTGGCGTGCTAATCTTGATTCGGCTTTAATCGCGTAAGCGGTGCCAACGCCAATAAAGAAGAGAAAGACAGTCTGTCGCGGGAACTACTAGATTTTAGTCGCCACTTTGACAAGCATGCCTATTCAATTGACGAGATCAATGCAGTAGTGTTTTCATTGTGAAAAGCTTCGTCAATAAATGCCGCAAGATTGTAATCTCCTTTATACATTTAATAAAAATTTTTAACTGCCCTGACTATTTTATGTATAACGGTATCAATTCATTTACCTCTGATGTGTACGTGTTGTCGGAGTGACATCCCATCAATCGCCAGCGCGTTCTGCAAAGAGTCCTTATAGAAAAAAATTTTCTTCCTTCACCGCCCCACTGACGCTATTAACTTTTATATTTTTAATACTCTCAATTACAACGTCGATATCCGATATAGATCTCAAGTCTTCGTTTACTATTAGTTTATTTAATGGCCGCTCAAAGGTAGCTGAGAGCTGTCGATTTTCTGCTGGAAGTCAATGTATTTTTAATCAGATGCAAAATTTATCGCAATACTATTTCAAATACTTACATCTAAACTAAAAATAGTCGAGGAGAACCAGCTTCCTATAATTACAATTTAAGCTGCCCCACGCCACATGATGGTAGTTGACATCTGCTCCGCAATTTTACTCCCCACGGAAGACCTGAGGAAGTTAACTGAACGAGCGGAGAAAACAGGTATGCAGCTAATTATAATACAAAAGATAGAGGGTCTCAGAAGCAGCGGGTGGTTTACCGGCATTACCATAGAGACATCTGTGGATAACAGACCTCTTACAAAGGAGAAGTTACAGTTTTTTTTGCTGACTATGCAGATCCTTAGTCCAGCCTCATGGTTATCATAATAAAGTGGATAATTAGGAGCTGATAACACAATGACCCTGCAACAGAGTGCCCAATATTGAATCCCCCTCACTACAACACTAGTGGATACTGCAGTCTCTTGCCGAACAGATTTTGTTTGTTTATGCACCGTTAATATTCTTCGAGATCGCGATGGCAGCGACGCTTTTCATCATTAAGATTTTGCAATATTCGGAAAACTAGGAGCCACACATCAACCGCAAGATTTTCTTCAAATACAAAAACCAAAGCAAAACAACACAACTACCAACAACTACTCTTCTTCAAACTCAAAAATGCACTAGATCCAACATTCCCTGTTGTTGCTGCCATGGCACTTGTATCCGGCGGCGGTTCGTGAATACAAAGCGGAAGCGCAATGTACCGAGTTGCAACCGCGTCCTTATTATCCTCCAAGAAATATTCTTGCAAATGGTGCTCTTATTGCACTTGCTTTTCGAGCTTACTGCAACTCAACTCATATTTCTCAAGCATACAACAATATACGAGTATATGTACGGCACATAGCTTTTCCGTTGTTGACATTGTTCATCTTCTCCTGGGGTTGGCATACCAACAGACGCATACATGTGGATATGTAGTATATGTGAGTGGGATTTACGTATGGTTAATATGAGTTCTGCCCGCAGGCAGTCCGTCTATACCACAGCAGGAAGGTGAGCTCGAGTGCCAGCAATGGTTACCGTTATGCTGATGGTTGCCATTGTGTCAAATGATATGAATTCGTCTGTCAGTTCTTCAAACTGTAGAGGTGCCCGAAGGATAAACCATCAGGAAGAAGGAAACGGCGTGTAATTACTTTGGGAACTAGCGACTCATGCACATTGGGCGATATTAAGATCACAAACTACACTTACAGTGTGTGTACTATGTTAACGTACGAACTTACAAATTTAATATTGTACATATACATATATGTATACATAGACTAGAGTACTGATATTTTTCGGTATGGGCGGTAGCATCAAATTGTGTGAGAAGTCCAAGTCTCAGTCTCGCACCTGCGGACTCATATTAGCGTGCTGCATTGAGAATGGCCCGAATTACCAGCAGCAATGTTTATACGTTCGCATTTTGTTTAACTCAAAACCCAACGTAGCGACTCTATAGCCTAGAGGGCTCTACCCTCCATTTTTTAGTATTCTGGCTAAATATGTAACAACTTGTTGTTGTCGCATATACATAGCTCTATGCGAAGACAACGGACCAAATTTACGCCCCTTTTATGACCACTGTAGTACTTGCTTTCGTCTTTGTACCGTCCATCGTATGATGACGGGGATGTCAGCCTTTAGTATAGCGAGAACATCAACTAGCTGGGCAGCGGCACCCTCCCAATTATGGGACCGAACATTATAGGTGCATGCCTACAAATCATTATCCTTAGTTCGTTTACGGTGGTCGTCTCCAAAAAGTAGCAATCGCATTGGAGACGTTGTTTAACTTTTGCTGGCTTCCACGTAGCAGGTCCCAAACCCAGCACACAACCTCGCTAGTCGAGTAGGTTTACATTTTTTGCACATGTATATAGCGAGCCGCTAGACTTCAGACTTCAAACCGAATAATTCGGAGTGGCTCCACTGAAGTTTTCTCTCCTTTAGCCGTGACCTGAAGCAGCGCACGGGTTGCTCACATTTCCAGGGTGAGCGAAGTGACCACAAGAGTGGAAACTGAATATAGCGCCACGACTGTAACTGCATATTCAGAAGCTTGACTATATCCTAGTCGGCAAGTTAGCTGGGTTTAAAACCGCTTTTTCTGCAAACGATACTCGCATACTGACCGACACCCCAGATATTTTTAACAGTCTATTATATATCTATATTCGTTATGAAATATTTCCAAAATATTAATTTTTTAAGAACGTTTTCTTAACCTTTAACTACGACTTTATTAATATTTTCTTTAAAGAACATAGAACTTATTGGTCATCATTGTTGATATTGTTCAGCAGAGCTACTAAGCTGTACGCATTGTTCATGATCTGTTGGTTGAGCGTAAAAAGACATTTTAGTAAATAACAGATGATATTTGAAGGAAAACAATAATATGTGTGAGAATGAATAATTGGAAAAACACATACATACGAGTTTACCTTCGTAAACACGAGTAGCCCCACTTTAAAGTAATTGCCTGCATACACAAACAGAGGCAGCTTCAAATACTCCATATAGAGAAAAATTTGACGCCGATTATACACCGACAAATCAACCCAATTGCAATTGTAGAGATGTGAGCTTAAGTTCTGCGATTCCGCTGTCAGGTTGTTGGCAAAATAGCAAGGCATAAATATTTGAATAGACATGCAGAGGAGATACATAACAGCAGACAAAAGTGACATGGGATGTTCGATGAAGCTTAACTGTATAATAATTGAAATTAAGTTTAAGCTACACATGCCAGCCATAGGTAATACTTACACTCCTCAGAGAATATATTGAGAAACAAATTGTAAATGCGCTGAGTGTAATTTGCGTTAGCAAAGGCACTGATAGAATTTTCTCACAACATCTGGTCATACTAATGAGTAGTAAAGAGAATGGTTGTGATTGTATGTTTTCCTTAAACTCAATACTCACGCTTTGAGCCGCTGATGCATATCTATTATGTTCTCGAGCGAACTGGTAGTCTCCACATTAGTTTTCTCATAGCCCAGTCGCTCCATCCGCATCCCAATCAAACGTGTATACAGTGACAAATGATATAGTAAATAACATTGGAACGAATCGAGCACCACATTGCACATGCAATTAAAGTTCAATGACAAACTTTCGTAGAAGAAAGCTGGCCAAATATTGTATTCGCGCCATTTGGCTGGCAACCAAAACTGGTATAACAAAGTGGGTGTTCCGCTGAGGGTAGTAGACCCGATGGCTAAGAACACTGTTAGCAAACAAAAGAATATATAAATGTAGATCACTTTACGGAAAGCTCGTTCGCCTTGGAGCCACATTTCTCTTTCGGCACTTCTACGAAGGTTGAATGAATCGCTTATCTCCCACTCGTGCAGCAATTCCACAGCAAGTTCCAAGTGATAGAAGAGATTTAGAGATTTAGCGAGGTAACATATTTCAGTGATTAATAACTTCAAATCCTCATCTGCGTTCTCCATATTTTCGTTAAGAATAAACTCAAGAAACTGCAGCAGAATGAAGCTGTAGACCAGCGTACTGTTTACGAATGATTTATAGCATCGATAATATGGTTTAAACCATGAATCCGGAATCCTGGTTGTCGACCACAGGCCTAAAATAAAAAGCATTGTAATTAGTAACCTTGAATTGTTCATTTTACTCGCAAATTCTTGTAAATTGTGGTAAATATTTAAGTTGAATGAATTCTCCGGCTAGTTTTGCACGTTTTTATAGTGAAAATTTTCACTGAAATCGATATTTGTTTATTTCAAATTAAAGTGTTGGAATGTTTTGCATAATCTATGTAACAATTAAAAATCAATTTACGAACACACGTGAACACATGTACATATTATCGTTTTTTAATAGAGTGGAAAGGTGCAAAACTTCGTCTCTCTCTCCTGAATCGTGCAAATTATCACTTTTCACGTCCTGCTCATTTACAGAAACTCCCACCGCTAAACAGTTATGACCACATTTTCTACCGAGAAAGCTCACACTCACAGCTCACAGATCCATGAATGTGCTAATGAAACTTAGCAAAGTTCGCAGCGACGTTGCGATTATGGGCAGTTAAGGAGACGAGCGGACTGTTGAATGTGCTGACCATTGGCTCTACTAGTTCGAAGGGGTTGTATGGGATGATAATGAGGAACGATTATGTGATGGCCCGATAAAAAGGAACTCGCGCAAAAAACGCAGCCCAACCGCTGATATCTTGTCTACTTTTGCCTTCCATTGTTTACTGCACAAAGGCTGTGCTATATTTTGACTGGAATGGAAAAGAAAGAAAACGCGAAATGTGTATGTAACATACATTATTTGGGGCCAGCAGCATAATCTTTGTTCGTAAAGATTCGTTAAGATTTTTGCACGCGGCATTGACATCATTTTTGCATCAACACCCGGCATACCACCAAGCCGCAAGTGAGCGAGGAATAAAAGTTTGAAGTAGAGACAGGGCTAGTACGTGAGACTGTCGGCGGCATATTGCGTCGCGGCTATTGCATAGCCTGCAGCCCCTGTAAGCATAAAATGCTCATGCCAATGCAACTGCCCAATCTGTCGCTTGTTGTCGTTGTAGTTAGCATGGATTATTTCGCATAGTACAAGTTTTGTTCTTCTCTGTGCTCAGTTTCATTTTGTGTATTCCTCTGTTCCAATTTGGATTGTTGTATTCATAATTTTGACCAACAAGCATCTGGAGCCCAAGAAATGTTGAATTCAACAATGAGAAAATATATTTAATTTGTCCCAAAGCAATGCTGCTGCACGGTCGAGAATAAGCTCGAAGGGCTTCAGCCTCAACCTTTCCGTTCGGCTTTAACATTCACGCATATATATACCTATGTAAATGTGCATAGCTTAGTATATAAGAATGTTCGCAACCATATCCGAGTGCGAATTGGCTCGGTGTTTTTTTTTACTTTTTTTTTTTTTTACTTTTTCCTTGTAGACAACCAATAACGGTAATTTTACGCAATTCCGTATGTATATAAAGGGTGATTTTTTAAGAGATATAAGATAGCTTTTCAAAAGAAAAAATACATAAAATTCAGAAAAATGAATGAAATCTTTATTTTAAGCGATAGTAAGGTCCATATAATTAAATGTTCGAAGATTATTTGTTATTTGTTTGGCAGATATTGCTTCATGAAATGACCAACTTTGGTAGAACACATATACTCGTCCATCGATAGACGAGACTGCATGTGAATGGACTGAGAACGACCATTTTGACAATTCAACATAGATAGATCTCAATTTCAATAAACGAACAGGATTTATGGAGTCGTAATCATCGTTGTTGTTCATATGAAGGTATACCTTTATCTTCTCAAACCGGTTTGCTGTCATAACGTTCTGTACAGCATAAACAACATACCGCTAATTCCAATAATATCTCACACATGGTAGTTTGTGTTAAAACATGAAATAGGAAATGAAAAATTTAAAAAATCTCTCGAATTTAAGAATGTCAAAAAGAAAATGTTGTTAATTTTTTCTACTTTTGCAAAGTGAATGGTCTCGGTTAAAAAAAAATATCTAAAACGAGCCTATGGAGTGGCGTATTAATCTGTTGGATCTGGCTTTAAAACTGAACTTCCAAGAAAAGAGATCTCTGTTTTTTTTAACTGATAATTACATTTCTTCCATCGAGCTCTTTCAAAATCTGACTGCGCTAAGTCAACAACAACGCTTCTATATAAACCGCTTCTATATAAATTTCTTACATCAATCGCTTTTAACTCCTCCGGCAGCAAGGCTCTCAAGTGACACCTGAGTTTCCTTTGGAAGTGATGAAAAGTCTTTCCACACCACAGATAATTCAAAAATGGATCTAGAATTTGAAACACTGATATTATATTATCATCATCATTTATATTTTTTAAAAAACCAATCACTAATAGAATCTTCATCTAATATTTCGTAGTCGTTTTCGGCTTGATTTCTAATACGAAGTGGGTTTGATATTTCATTTATTGGTTCATCTATTTCATCCGAGAGTTCTTCTTTATCTATAGACACATTTCTAGTTTTGGGTATAACAACCTCAAAATCTTCAGAAATCATATCATACACTCCTCTGCACTGTGACTCTTGCCATCATTTGTTATGTATTCCATATCTGCATACAACTCGCATGGAAAATACTAAATGCTGGGTGAAGGATGTGGCTTAGATGCGTGAATTACTATATATAGTACCAAATGTAAAACGCAAAAAGTAAATTTAATTTAATCACACATGACTCATCAATATTGCTTAGGACCTATTACACCGAGCGCATTGTGTGATATACCGAAGCTTGCGAACTGATTGGAACTTATCGGTGTGACACCCAATCTTGGAAACGTGCCCACGAAATGGGATATGCTGACATGTTGCCCGGATGAATAACAGTAGCTAGCGGTAGACCTTCACACAGTTGGAAAGATCAGGTAGAGAAGGATCCAGCTGCATTTCCTATCGCCAATTTGGGAAAAATGGCAAATAGAAGTATCGATTGGACGGCGTAGTTCAGATATTTCCCTGCTTCATTATCGAGATACTTTGAATAACATATTTTATTAACCCTTTGCCCTCTAGAGGTGACTCTCATTCACCATGGGGGGTACTACCGCAAATCGAGAGGTGACTATCACTCACCACTTGGTTTGCTGCGGTAACTCGATATGCGGGACTAACTGTTTTCGTTAACTTTCTTCGAGCGGGTTCTGCTACGGCATTTCCACGACTGCCCAATTACGTGTTTTGCTCTCTCAATTACGAATATATAAGAGTAACGTTCCAGAAACTACAACTTCTCCCACTTCCATATTTGACAAGTTTGCTTCAACAGAGTGTCACATAGTAATGCATCTTGCTGTAGTGTTCTTTAGGAGCTTCTGTCTAATAGAAGCCGAGTTCTTGTCTTCTTTACCTGGGAAAATCTGCTTAGCTGAGACTTGCTCGGCTATTTCATCCGCCGTACAGCACCCTTCTACGTCCTTTAGGTCAGAAAAATATGTGTTTTGGGCATATCCTTTACAGGTATCGTGAAAATATCGTGAAAGAGGATTCCAAGAGTGAAGTTTGTGAAATGAGTCCACCATTATTTCAATAGTATATATATGTATATCCCAATACTTGCTACTGGAACGATATTAAGTCAAGGAATTTGCATCAGATAATTGTTACTGTTAATCACAGTTAACCTCCCGTCTTGGCTTGGCATACAAGTTTGCCTTTCAATTATTTTCGAGTATCCAAATCGTTGATCTATCGGTAGGTATAACTAAAATTTAATAGGAACTATAACTTGAGCATTTTTATTCTTAAATTAAATAAATATGTTATATATATATCTTTGAAACACTGTACTCTGCCGCGGCCGCTGCCGACACCAGCGCGCGATAACTGCGGAGCATTTAAGTTGTCGTTTGCCGTTGGGCAAATGTGGATTTTAGCATGCGCTAAGTATGCATTTTAGTGCGCCAATGTTAAATTGTGGGTCCGGCACTACTACCACCAACACATTGCTTTTGTTTAGTCATAACCGTAATAGCGACTTCTGCCGCCACCAATGCCGCCGGTTGTAATTCTTATCGCCAACCAAGCACCACTTTGCTAGGCCAACTATGAGTACCTCGAAACAATTACTTTGCCGCAATGCTTCGTTTCTTGTTCTTGCTGCTATTGTTGTTTGTAATGTTGCTGCCGTCGCCTCTCACAATTTCCTATGATATATTTGCATCCAACACCGCTTATTATTTGCTTTATTTATTTGTTGCAGTTTAAAGCATTTGACCAAATGATTTATTGACTTACCACCAGTCGCAGCAGCAGCGGCAAGCAGCAACGATCTCCCAGTTGCCGCACTGAACTTAGAATTTCACGCTTCTGCTTCTTCCTTAGTGTGGGTGGTTGGTTAGTTGGTCTCACTTGGCTGGTTGGTTTGTTGTTTAATTTGCTTCTTCTTATTCTCGGTGCTTTTCACACTCTAGTAATCTGTTCTTTTTTTTTATTTATTTTCTTATGCCGAACTACCTCAACCAGCTTTGTTGTTTTTGTTCTCAATCTGGGCAAACCCTGCATTTGCTGCTTTGGCGGACTTGTCTGTCTGGACTATTTAGAAGGCGGAAGACTATTATATTTATAAATGAGGTTTGAGGTCAGGTTAAGCGTTTATAAATTGAGATGTTATATACGCGACGCTGCTGAGCGGTTTTTACCCGTTAGTAACGTAGAAAGTGGAGTGAAGCGATAGATAAGCGTTTAAATAAATGTATTGCAAAAATTTTATGTTGTTCGCTTAATATGAATTTATATATGTATGTTTGTATGTGGTTGAAATATTTTTAGTTTTTAATAATTAGTACAGTTATTTGAAAATTTGCAGAAGAGAACCAATATACAGAATTACCTTCGACTGATCTGCGGCGGTCTAAAACGCATTTGAATCACCTCTAGCCGGGTAAATAATAACTTATTGTGC